ATATTTAAAAATATTTATTTGCTTGGAAATTCACTTTATTACTTTTTTATTCAAGATTTTATTTTTTTTTTAATTTTTTTCTTGTAATTTTTATAAAAGTAATAAAAATTCTTGATATCAAGTAATTTTCGAAAAAAATTTCAAATGACTTGCTTAGTATTTCAGTTCAGTTCAGTTCAGTTCAGTTCAGCTTAGTTCAGTTCAGTTCAGTTACTTAGTCATTTAGTTAATTAATTAGTACTTCAGTACTTTTTAGGATTATTAAAAGTATTATCAAACAAAAGTATTAAAAATTGCGCATTTTGTAATGAATAAATTAAAACAAATTCATACTTATTGAATAAAATATTCAGTTATTGTAAAATTAAATGATTACTTGCTTGCAGCTAAATTCTGAAAACATGAGCGTTCATTTGCATAATGGATTAAAAACAAAGTATAAAAAGTTGTACTGCGTTTTTATCACTTGCTTATTCCATTTAGACTTTTTCAAATACAAACAATTTTATTGCTAAAAACATTGATTTCTGTTATATCTTTAATGGTAAATAACATTTAAAAACAAAAAACTTTCAAATATTTATTAATTTTTTTATAAAAAAATGAGTAAAAATTATGTAAAATTTCGATTAAAAAATTTTAAGGGCAAAGTTCACAGTAAAAAACAAAAAAATATATAAAATATTGATAAAAAAATTTCAAAGGAAAAGTTCACCGGAAAAAAACAAAAAATATATAAAATTTTGATAAAAAAATTTCAAGGGCAAAGTGTACCGTAAAAAAAAACAAAAAAATGTATAAAATTTTGGTAAAAAAATTTCAAAGGCAAAGTTCATCGGAAAAAAACAAAAAAATGTATAAAATTGTGGTAAAAAAATTTCAAGGGCAAAGTTCATCGGAAAAAAACAAAAAAATATAAAAAAATTTTGATATAAAATTTAAGGGCAAAGTTCATTGTAAAGAAACAAATTATTTGTGCAAAAAAATAAAAATGGAAATGACGAAGACAAAGATAAAAAGAAAAACTCTATTTGTGTAGAAAACAAAGTGCTGCAAATACTAACACACATTAATTAATAAATGAGAAAAAATTTTTTTTTGCATTCAAAAATCTTTTTGTTTTTACTAACAGTTGTTTAATACTAAGTAAGTTGATGGAAAATCACAAACTTTTGCTTAGTTCAATTTATTCTTTTAATATTATTTTATTTTTATTCTTTTTATTAAAATATATTTATAAATTAAATTGTTTATATTTAATTGGACTCAATTAAATGAGACTAATTCATTTAATACTTAATTTAGTATATAAATTATAATATAAACAATTAATTAATCGCACACATTTTATATTAAATATTTTTAATAAAACTAATATTTTTCTCAACTTGATTATATATTTATACATTTAATTTAAAATATTATGCATAAATTATTATCTGACTAATTAATTTTACACTTAACCAAAAAATATTACTCATAAAATATTTCTTAGCTTTATTATTTTTTTAAAAAAATCGAATAAAATGAAAATTTTTGAAAAAATTAACTTTTTTTTATCAAAAATTTTTTAAAATTTAAAAAACATAAGTAATGAATGACTGACTCAAAAAAGTTTTTTTTGGTACAAACTTTTTTCAGCTAAAATTAGTTCAAAACCTGCTTGCTTTTTCTTTGCTAAAAAAGTTTAAAATGTAATTAAAATGAATTTAGTGTAATTTCTTTCACTAAAAATAAATTTTTAACTGATAAATTGCAAAATCTGAACAAAAATTTGCTAAGTATAAAAAAAGTTCTTCACTTTGTTTATTAAAAGAATGCACCAAAATTACTCTATTTTTGTTTGCATCAATTTTCTGTACTTTATTTTTTTTACTTTTCAAAAACATTTTAACAATATGCATTAAAATTATTTGTAAATAAATTAAATTTTTCAATAATTATCATCATTATTATTATTCGTTATTATTTTTACTATTATTTAATACTATTTATTATTACTATTGATGATGACTTTTACTAGGAATTCTTTGTTCAAGGGAAATAATTGCAAGTCCCGATCCCGATCACGGAGGATTTCCAAGGGTTACCTTAACTTTTCAGCAATGGTTACAGAAAGCTGATTCTTCCAACAAGTAAACTACTATTTATTATTATTCGTTATTATCATGAAAAACACTTGTTGAAATATATTACTTATTATTATTAATTACTGATATCATTCATTTTATACCTAATTTAATTGTACAAAATGATACTTCAGTGCTATAAGGAATTATTATTATCATTGTTATTATTATTGTTATTATTATTATTATTATTATTATTATTATTAAATTAGCCATCAAAATAATGCAAACAATAGCAACAGTCCAAAATCATTACAATAATATTAGATAAGTCGTCACATTGAATAATATAGTCAGTAGAAATGAGTATTACTAATTTTAGAAATAAATAATTAAAGATTAAATTGAATTGAGTAAATGAGCAGAATTATACAATTAATGAAAAAAAGATTTATTCGAAATATCAAAGATATAAATTGCTTTATAAAAAGCATTACATTAGCTGAAATAAATAAACGGAAAAAAGGCGAATGCAATTGAATTTATGTTTTACTTTTGAGAGAAAAGTAAACAAAAAAGGCAATTATTGAAATCAAATTCAAAAAGTTTGATATTAATTTAGCAAAAATGTGCAAAAGTAAGTATAAGTACGCACAAGTTTATGAATAAATAATCATAAGAGAAGCGTAATTGAACGTATAAACGAAGTAAAGTGAAATTGATTGGATTAGACTAGATTGAATTGAGTAGATTAGACTGAAATGGACTGCAAAGATGGATAAGTAAGTGGAATAATACTTGTTGAAGTGAATGTACGCTAGCATAAGTCATAACTTAGCACTTTTTGAATACTTGAAATTAGTTTAAAATTTAAGAAAATTTTAGAGTGATTAAAATGCAAGAAAAAAAGTTGCAATAAATTGCAATACAGAAAGTTAGTCATTTTTGTGTGATAATTACTGAAATGAAGTTGACGACAATACTTCTGGCAAATTGGCAAAAGTATGGAATCAAAAAGTGCTAGTTCTATTTTCGATCTGATGCAAAATAATCAATCCACTCATACAGGTGAATAAACAAAGGAATTTATTTGCATGTATGAATAAATAGAATGAATAGATTGGATGGATTGGATGGATTGGACGGATTGGACGGATTGGATACATGGATTGGATGCATGGATTGGATGCGTGGGTGGATTAGATGCGTGGATAGATGGACTGATTGGATGGATTGGTTGGATGGATTGGTTGGATAGATTGGTTGGATGGATGGATTGGATGCGTGGATGGATTGGATGCGTGGATGGACTGGATGCGTGGATGGATTGTATGCGTGGATGGATTGGGTGGATAAATGGATTGGGTGGATAAATGGATTGATGGATCGGATGGATAAACGGATTGGATGAATAGATGCATTGGATGGATAGATGGATTGGATGGATAGATGGATTGGATGGATAGATGGAAGGGTGAGTGAAGGTACTTTCCAATTTTGCAGTATAGCAAAACAAATCTTCGAAAATTTTTTCAACAAATCGCATTAACTCTAATAATATTCAGCGATGAATAATTAATTTTATATTATTTATAAAAAGTAATTTGAGATTATTTAGAGGAATAATTTTGCAGAACACAAAAAAAGCATTCAAATTTGTTAACAAATCTGATACTTTTTGCAGTATTTATTATTTCAGAGCAAAGAGACTAATAACTTTGAAAACATGACTAGCCATTTGAGAATCAGTACTAATCTCTCAGGAAAAACCATTCGTATGCTAATTTTGATATTTGACGTGGATTATTCAATCATTACTTGCAGTGATAACTTCTAATTACAATACTTATTCACAATTTAATATCAATATTATTTTCATTCGATGGAATAATTAAAAAAAGCTTAAAGTTTAATCTCTCATAACTTTTATTAATGATATTATAGTAAAATTTGGTTGACATAAATTACTGCTATAATTTGTACATTTGTTTAAAATAAAAATTGCAAAAAAAGATAATTAAACCAGTTTTATGATAATTTTGACTTGGACAGAATATTTGTATGCAAATTAATAAAACAAATTGGCATTCATATCAGTGCCTGACTCTATCTCTTATTCAAGCATAATATGCAAAACACTGTCTTTCAAAAACATTTGCAGATCTTCTTACAAGGCATTTGCACGCAAATTAATCAAATATGCAAATATCCATCTATTTATCTACTGACTAAACAAAACCTTTCAGAAACTTGCAGAGCTTTGCTTAAGAAAGCAACTAGTTTAACTTCGTAGAATTAAGATGAATCCTAAATAAAAATTACTAAAAGTTTACGCGAATTAAAAACTATTACAAAATATATTTAAAAATATATACATTAAATATTAAACTTCACTCTATAACAGGAAATAAAATCATTTTTATTCTAAAAATAAGAATAAGTAAAAAATGCAAATTTTTTATTGAGTAGCAATACTATGAAGTAGGAATGGTATTACAGAGTACTAAATACAATGGTATTACTTAAAGTTATTCAAAAAATTAAGTTCGTATTAATAGGTGGATAAGTAGATAGATAAATAGATAGATGGGTCGATAGATGAGTAGTTTTATAAAGAAATAAATAAAAAGAATTGTAATGAGAAAGCAAATAAACATACTTTTGTCGGATAAGTTGGAAAGCCAAAAAAATTCAAAAAAAAAGTAATTAAAAACTTGAAAAATTAAAATGTACAGAAATTTAGAACTGATTTATGCAAAAGTAAGCACTGCTAAACTTATATTCGAACTTTTAATGTTTGCTAATTTTTTCATTGCATTACCAATGAATGCTATGCTTATAAAAATTTGTTTGAATTTTCTGCTAAATTAATTATTAAAAACAAATCTCGAAAAAAAATTCTGCTAGCTTCATAAGTTTTTGCTAACTTACTGCAAGTCTTGCCTGCAATTTTTTTACTTCAATTTAAAAATTATTGGCTAGTTTAGAATAAATTTGAATTGATTGTTATGATAAATTTTAGCTAATTTTATTTCAAATTACTGTAAGCATATCTGCGCAAAGTTTAATCCTTCCAGATGACATGTACAAAATTATTTCTGGCATTTATGCAGTAATAAATAAAATATGCTTTTTTTACCTCATATTGAAATTAAGAGTTTATAATAAATTGAATAGTAAATACAGTATTGATATTTTAAATAATTTGCATAGAACAACAAAATATGAATAAAAAAATATTATATGTCATTAAATTCATTAAAAGTGACATTTTACTGTAAAAGTTAATAATAAATGAAGTTTTCATTACTAAAGTAAAGCTTAAAATTAACTCTACTTGGCAAGTTTACATATTTTAATTGCAATATTCACAAGGAAAAAAATAGAGCTTAGATCAAAGCATAAAGTAAACTTTGCATTATTCTGAATAAATTTCTCGCATAATTATTTTCTGAAAACTAAAATTCCTTCGAATTTTGTCTTTGCAAGCATTTTACTTGCAAGAATGCAAATTTAATTTGCCTTTGCATTTGTAAAAACATAAAATTATGCATTTATTTTTAGAATAAATTAGATGCAAATTTTTGTCACTCTGTTTAATGCATATTTTTTTCATTCCATTTATGAATATTAGCTTAATTTATCTCAGTCAAATTATAATATACAAATTTTAACTCTGCACTATTTATAAACTGATTACAAAAAGTTATTTTATAAAAATCAATTAAAATTTTCAATTTTTTTTTATTACTCTCAAAAAATTTATGATTATTTTCTCAGGTAGAATGATAAGATAATTTCAATGATAAAATAATCTTTTGGAAGAAATAATAACTATTAAAAAAACAAAAAAATGTACAGTTAAAATTCAATTTCAAGACATAAATGTGATTATATTACACAAATTATTACTAAAATCATCTCTGTATTAAGCCATATAATTAGTTACTGTACGATTTTATTAAGTTAAAATGGTATACATTTCAATTCAATTAAAATGGTACACACTAAAATTTAAATCATTAAAATTGCAGTTTTGATAATAAATTTGAATTGTAATTTGTACATTTTAACCTAATAAAATCGTACAGTAACTAAAAATATGGTTTTAATACAGTAATAATTTCAGTAATAATTTGTGTAATATAATAATAATTTGAGTAATTTATTAAAAAATTATTAGAAAGTTAAAAAAAAATCTTTAAAAAAATAAAATTAGTTTTTTGTGATGCTGAAAATATGTAGTCTGATGGATAATAATAATTTGTTCTACACATCAATAATGAAACAAACAATTTTTTTTCTTCGATGATAACTAAACAACTGATAAACATTCACTGATAACGAATTCACTACAAAAAATATGAATAATTTTCAAAAGCAAATTCATATTAGTTTGAAAGTTTTTTTGTTGCTATTGCAAACAGCAAAATGCAAAATAGCAATTTATCGTTTTGAGAGAAAATTTTGACTTTTGATCGGTTATATTTTTACTTTTAAGTAATAACTGACTTAAAACTTTCAAATTACTTTGCACTTTAAAAAATTACTAATTTAAAAAAGTTTTAAAAAGACAAATAATTGTAAAGTATAAAAATTAATAATGAATTTTTGAAGATTGAAAATGTCTGATTTTAATAATTTTTAAAAACAAGTTTAGAAATTATTTTACCATCTTATTTATTTATTCATTTATTTTTATTTATTTTTTTATTTATTTCTTTATTTTTATTTCTTTATTTGTATATTTATTTATTTATTTGTATATTTATTTATTTATTATTCTAACATGATATTATTCGAGTATCATTTAACCTTTTTGTTTACTTCATTATCGAGTACAAATTTGATCTTTTTTTTTTTGCATTAATGTAAAAAAACCCAGAATAAAATCAGATCAAATTAGATCAAATTTAGATCAGCTTAGATTAAATGAATATAAGTAATTACCTGAGAGTGCTGAAAATGTTCGTTAAACATTGTGCTAATTGAATTTATAGGCTGATATTCATCGTATGATTGAAAGTATAGATCATCATAAGCTGATGGTGGTGAACAATTTGAAATTATTGGCAATTTATTATCGTAAATATCGTTTGTTTTTGGGTCGAGCATTTTTATTCCATCTAGTTGACATTTATTCTTGTTTATCTTTAATTTATTAAAAATTACATTCATTTATTAATATTACTGCAAAAGATTTCTTAAATTGTTTTCTGTTTGAATTTTTTTTTTTCACGAAAAAGGCATTTAAAAATTTTAGCAAGCAATTTGCATAAGCTGTATGCTGAAACTTTTTTTAATTTAAACAAAATTCAATTAAAAAATAAATTTGATTAAAACTATATCTGTTTATATGCTTAATTCTATTATGTGTAGTAAACACGTAAATTCAACATTCTGAATTTACGTGTTTTCTGCACATAATATTAAACGTTTAGATATGCACAAAAAGTTTTTGCCAAAAAAATGATAATATTACAATACGTATTGTATTGTACTGTATTAATTAATTTTGTTTAATTATATTTATTGTACCTGAAAAAGTCAATAAAAATTAAATCACTATTTTTGTGCTTGAAATAAGCATTAAAAAATTGAAATTTTTGCAATTATATATGAAGAAAAACAAAACTTAAAAACTTTTGCACTTAATACTATTTTACAAATGATTAAAGAATCAAATTTTTAATAAAACATAAAAAATTAAGCACAAAATCAAATCAGTTTTTTTAATAATAATATGTGATTTACTTTTTTTTTGTTCCAAAAAGTGAAAAGTTTGCAGTAGTGAGAACAGTTACAGATAATCTTTTGTAATAAAAAATACAGTCTCACTTTTGTTAGAAAAAAAAGTTTTAAGAAGAAAAAAAAATTGGTGAGCAAAATAATGTTATTGAAGAAATATCTGAAAGAATTTGAACACGAAAACTGAAAAAAAGTTTGTATTTATTCTTTTTTTACTTATTTTTTAATAATTCAAATCATTACCATTGCTTGTTACTATTAATAATTATGAATTACTTTAATTATTTTAATTACAATTTAATGCATAAAATATATAACTATGAATTACTTTTATTATTTCAATCACAATTTAATGCATAAAATATAGAAAAAAGAGTAAGTATTGTTGGACGTAAAGCTATGAATTAAAGTTAAATTTATGCTCTATGCTTGCTTAAATGGTCAATAGAATAGTTGAAACTTGAATAATTTTCAGAGTTTTGTGCTTATTACTTTGCAGTCAATTTTGAAATTTATTTTAATATTTTACAAAGTTAAAAGCTTATAAAAGTTAGCTGCATGCCTCATAAAAAATGCAAAATTCAATTTAATTTTATTTGAATAGCAATATTTTCCACTTTCAATA